TTGAGTCCGTGGTAATGGATTTTATTTGCAGTTTGTTTAGTATTACTGGTAGGTGACGTTATGTCTCGTTTATGAATATCTGAGCTCATTAACTGAAGTATTTTTACCGGAAGCTGCGTGTAGCATGCATGACCTACAGTCAAGTAGCAGTTCCCGATTGAGATAAACAGGGTGCATTTTCAATAAGAATACGAGGCTGTGATAAGATCATATGTTCTACAAAGGAAAGGAATGATATTTACAAGCCATTCAAGTGCATTTGAGTCCAAAGTTACGCATAATAAAGACAGTAGGTCCGGTATATACCAGTGGGTACCGCTAGAGGCCGTCTGTGTGAAATCGACATTTATGAATATCTTGAGCTCATTAACTAAAGTAATAGCTAAAAACATTATTTTAAAAGTTTGTTTCAAGAATGTAATACACTAAATATCAATTATGATGAATAAGAAATAAACACACTGTTTCAGGTATTGATAAATCAATACTTATTTATAAACCACATAAATATATAACTTTCACATTTTAGACAGAGGTACATTAAAAGGAGAGATCCGACAGAAAGGACTGGAGAAATAATGAGCTCATAGTCAACAAATTGGTTAGTTGTAAGTACAGAAACAGGCAATATTCACTAAAATTTAAAAGGAATAAAACATCATTACATGATGTTATAAAAATGTCTTTAGACTAGATTTGAAAATGTACAACAATCATTCAGTGACAACCCTACAGCGTAACTTTCACTTGCATTAAGAACCAAAGAATGAGTATCAAATAAAATTTCTTGACATGAAACAACAAATACATTTCCTTATTCATTGCGCAATAGTGGTCCCTTTGTCTTGGTGAAACTAAGTCCATTGCCAATATTCTAGATGAACATAAAGCTTCTCTTTTTCAACCTTATTTCTTATCAAAATCAGTCATAAACCCTAAAAATATTTTTTTTTACTTTGCAATTCACTTCTATAAATATCACATCTTTTGTTGAAAACTTGGATTTAAACGGAGGTGTACACACATTTGTAAAAATGTAAATATTCTTCTTCCCATATAAGTTACCTTGTTAGCAAAATGTCATACCAATCATGTTTCATAGTGAAGACAAATTAACGCTAGCTATGCAAATGCAATATTTCATGAGATAATTTTAACAAAAGACCCATCTTTTCAATGAAGCAGAAGGTTTTATAATCCATCAGATCTGTTAATATCCCACCAAGAAATTCAATTTCAATCCAATCAAACCAGGTAGATAAAACGATAATAAACGTCTATATTTTCACCAGTGTAAAGATGAACGCAATACACGCGTAAAGTACATGTATGACACAGATAGGAAGGTGATATATGTTTTACTTAAGTGGTTCATTGCAGATGCAATGGCACCTGTCTGTAAAAAAAAATAAAAAAAATAGTGACATTTAAGGATTAACTTGAATATTTTTTTCATGTTATGGAGCTATAACACAAAAAATGGAGTGTACTCTCATCATAAACCACGAAAATCCTTATAATTTAATCTATTATACACAATCCCTGTGGAAATCCACTTTTATTGATGGACTCTTTTCTCTTAGAAATTGCGCCGCTGTATCAACCAATCAAAAGCGACGTTACAAATGGCGACGTCATTTTTTTACGTTATGGGATGATAACATAATTTTTTAAGCCAATGGAAATGCTTGTTACAAGCAAGATTAAATTATTTTAATATATCCCCAATTAGACGGAAAATACCCCGATACAGCTTTGCATGAGAACAATCATACAATATTTTTAACATATCGTCTGCTATTTAGTGCATCTGCAGCGATAACCTTTCTTAATCCATTCAAGAATCTACAATCGTAGATGTTTGGTATCTTCATATATTTATACATAGCCACATCAGTTTCTTTGACTCAATTATTATCATTAATATGAAAATTCTTCTGAGAGAAAATATGTAAGTGTCTCTAATCTACTATGGCATTTTACTAAAAAATAAAAATAAATCTAACGCCAGAACCACTTTATCAGTCAAAAAATGAAAATATTTTATTGCTGCAATTTTCAAATCTGTTATTTGATGCTCATTGCGTAATGTAACCATAATCGTAAATGCAAACCTCTCCGATGTTTCAATAGTAAAAGATGAACGGATAGTTCTTCTAGATCCTTTATTTTTCACTATCTACCAAGGGTCCTAGTTCTCCTAGTCAATCTTTCCCGTAATATAGCAGAACATCTAACTTTCCATTCAAAATTTTCAGCGTAACTTTTTTTGGTAGTGCTAATATTAGCAGAACAAATTTACCAGACTCAATTTCACAGGCATAACGTACTAGCCAATCACAAAATTTACATCAATAAAATTGCCTGTTACAATTAGATTACCATATATGAATTCTGTAAATAAGCTATATCGAGACTAGAACTGCTAGAGAGGACCCTGCTGTCAGAAACGTCATATTGTCTTATATTCCATTTCTTATGTAATACCGTGCTTAACTTGCTCTACACCATGCTTGAAAGTAGTCCTTGGTGTTATTGCTAGGTGAATGAATTTGATTCAGTATGTGTAAGACTTGGATTCACAACTAAATAATGCATGTCTATCCAATTTTCAGTTATCAGATGTCCAACACATACGTATTATCATAAAATATATTAATATATTTCAATAAAATATTTAAATCATCAGTCCTATATTTTGTCATGCATCATGTTTCTCCAAGAATGTAGTATGAAAATCCAGCGAGAGCCGCGGCCACAACACCTCCAAGTATGGTACCTGCACAGAAACAGAGTAACAAGAAAATAGTTTCAAAATATCATGTTAAAGGCTTATTCGTTTTTCGTACTTTCTATATCTATTAACCATTAATAATGTTTATGTCTGAGATTTCAAATGGTCTCCGACAACATGGTATTATTATGTACGTTTTATTTCAGTTATTTCTTAGTGTACACCAATCATTCATGGGGAGATGCAAAGTTTTAAGAAATTACTTGCACTGTGAAAACCTTTTCTGGTGTATATGTAATCATAACATCTTCTGTACTGTACCAGATTGCACACAATATGACTTGATATATTTCTTTTTACAGGCAATGACAGATTATTCAAATAGATTTTTTCGTAAAGAGAAATTTTCTTAAATCATTTTATTGGCAAAGAACAAATTGGACAATCATACATTGAGGTTTTTTTTAACTGGTTATTAACATGAACACATCGTAATAGGTATTTCAAAAAACATCTGAAAGTTTAAATTATTTGTCTCCAATACACAAGATTTTGTTGTTCAATTTTAATTTATTTGAAAATATTTCAGATAAAATTTCATCAGTTCCTTGTTAAGCTAATAAGGCTTTTAAAATGCACTCTGTTAAAAGAGAAACTTGGGGCCTGTATTGCTTATCTTGACTTTCAACCTATCATGGGGAAGTAATTTCATTAAAAGTGTGTCTTAGCAAAAACTGTTGAAAGACAATCCAGGTTTCCCTTTCAGGCATTTTCCCTCGGTCATCGGGAATTGCTTCAAAAATCGCAAAAAATTTAATGGAGTGGGAATCTTGACCATTTCCATGTTATGACTCTGGTACTAGTCCCTTTTGATAGGGATCTCAGCTGCTTCTATGTTATGCCACAGGAAAATCAAGTTCCAGGGGCGCAACTGACCCAGGGACCAATCTTTGTAGCATGTCTTTCTTTGTCTGTTTAGGTCTAGAAATTGTATGCATGGTTCAAAGGCAGTGATCTCAACCGCATCAATGTTACATCCAAGGAACTACATGGGGTGAGGCTGACTCAAGGGACTCCTCACCAGGCCTAGCATACTGTATACAATTACTGAGTGAGAATATCAACCATTTCCATGTAATGACTAAAGGAATGGACCAGGAGGAATATCATGAAAACATGGATGTATTTGTATTTTTACGACTACAAATCATACATATGAATATAGGATGGAGATCCTAACCGTCTCCATGTTATGACCTACAGACTTAGTCCAAAGGGGCAGAGCTAGACTCAGGGGCAAAACCAAATAGCATGCTTAAGTTTATATCTTCAGGTCCAGCAAATGTGTATATGGTCTCTATCAACTCCATGATATGGCTCCCAAGACTTAGTCTCTAAGAATGGAGCCAAGCTGATGCCGATCTAAATGTCTGTGTCCCCAGGAAGACTATATCCTCCATTTATACATCTTTGAGTCCACTTGCCCAAAGGATGTGCCTGATCAAATTTGGTGCAAACCCAAATATCTGTACAAAAAGAGAGCATTTTAAAGATTTACTTTTATTTCCTGTATAAGGCCTCATTCCACTTCTCCTTGGGGGCACATCATCCATTTGTAAGTTAAGTCAATAAATTACTGAGCTGTTCTTTACTAGTAGCACTTCAGATGAAAAGTGAAAGGACAAACAGACAGGTGGATCACTCACCATGGCATAAATTATAAAACATTGTATTCCACTAGCAACAGCACTCACCAATATTAAAGCCAAGGTTACTTTCTCTCACAACTTGATTATTTACTTGTGAATCATCTTTTTCGGTGGTTTCCATGTCTTCTTCAGCTAAGGAAGTAATACATTTTATATCCATTTGAAATATGAGATTATGAAATACATGTATCGTTCACACATAATATGCTAGTTAAATTGATTTCTGTTTTATACATTGTTTAAACAAAATTGATTTTTTTAAAGTCATAACTGCAGTAAAAAGCTAATTCTTCAAATTTAATACATGCTCCCCTTTCAGGATAAAGTTTTATCTGTAGTCAATTGAAGAGGTTTGGTGTAGGTATATTTCAGCGTAAAACATCCCAGTAAAAAGCTCATTCTTAAAATTTAATACATGCTCCCCTTTCAGGATAAAACTGTAGTCAATTGTGAGATTTGGTGGAGATATGTATCGGCTTCACACCTTTGGTTATTGTAAATCTGCTTTCTAAAGTTGGTTGAAATTGAAGCATTCTAAGATTATTATGTGTAAACAAATATATTCCTAAATATGCATCTCATTTGTGATCAAACTTTGCATGAGACCTGACATTTATAATGTATGAACATACAAATTTGGTTGAAATCAAACTATTTTAGGGCAATAATTGAGAGGAAACTAATTAACTAAAACAGAATAAAAGACCTCATTATTACCCAGGTATGCAAAAATATACATGCATCAGATCGGTAATCAAATTTAGTTCGAGAATATTTTTTGTAAGTGTACTTGCAAAATTTGTTTGAAAATGAACTATTTATAAGGCAGTTTTAAATTTCCCAAAAATAAAGTGTCCCATCCAAATTGGTATTCCCCAATTCCTCAAAAAAGTGGTGAATAACAATAATAGAAAGTTTGGTAGAAAATACAACTACATCTTACTCAATCAGATTATAAAGTAACGTTTTTACAAATATTCTCTTTTAAATTTGATCTTTTAAATAAGGTATTTAACCAATGTTATTGTAGCAGATCTTACTGGCCATTCGTTCACAGGTCAAGTCAAGTTTATCCTCAGTGATGCTGATATCCAACAACTCCTCTATTCGATCTGTGACCTCCTCCATCTTCTCGTCTGGGAACATGTAGTCACAAAAATCCAGGTGTGTACCAGGGAGTTTACCAAATACTCGCACAGGCGTGTTATACAACTCCTTCAACACTGAAAAATTAAACCTTGTATTATTTTAAATGTGATAATTTTGGTGACAGATTTTTTGCATTTTTACATTTACTCTATATTAAATGACAATTAAATAATAATAATAATAATATACAACATTTGATATAGCGCCCTATCTAGCTAACATAAGCCACTCTAAAGCGCTTTACAGTACATAACGGTAGATATACAATTAATACAATTAGCATATACATTAATTAATTCAATTTTGAGGAATTCGCAGGAGCTGCCTTATCAGGCGCTAACTACTAGTCCAATGCCACCTGGCTAATATCTCCCTATGAGTGTATGCCTGTGTGTGTGCTGGAGATGTATTGTGTTCTGTTTTGTAGTGGGACCGTGCTTCCAACGGCATCTTTTTTAGTGCCACCTCACTTGAATGCTACAGCACAGATACCGCAACATCCACCCAAGACCATTTTATACTCCACCTGGGTTGTTGGAGTTGTGTGGGCAGGAGAAAAACACTTTCTCTGAGGATCAACCCCCGGCCGTCTGCGTGGAAGGCCGAAGTGTTAACCACTCGACCAATCCGCCCAGACAGTAACAATTATACACTGTATAACAAGAGAATAACACAGATTTATCTACAGAACTGGAATAAATTCTGGTAAAGGATTATATACCTGACTCTTCTTCAACTACATCAATGACATCCTCATACAGGAGTTCACAGCGCGCCATCAGACTCCTCACCACGTCAGTTTGTAGGGCCTGTATCAACACAGCAAGATTTGCTATCATATGACATCACACTGGCAAGATACCTATGTCCTCCTACAACATGACCACTACTTAAGAAACAGAATCGATTTGAGTCTAGTTGATTTCCCTTTCATATACATGTATATGAGTTATATCCCTTGTATATCTAGTACACTGTACAAGTATTTCTATGAGTAATTTGGAATTATTACTGTAATTTATAATATAATGGGAAATGTGTGTTTGGATGTTATATTTTTAATATAATATTAAGTCACTTTCAAGTTTGGTTCTGAAAGCTCAGATAATTTAAAGCTCAATTGGGAAATAATATTTATTTTTGTTAGGTGTATCAGCATCCTTAAGTGTTTTACCTTTATCCCATCTCGAACTTCTGCTTTTCCATACACATATGCTCTGCTATGAATACAGCCACGAACTGCCATCTTGGCCACATTCTCACTAACTCTTGTCTCAGTTATTCCGTCTGCCTTCTATCAGAGTAGAGAACATTTATGTGAACTCAAATTAACCGAGACATGTTTCCAGAACACATATAATTAACACAAGGTTTAGTATTCTATACACTAGATACCACTTGTTATAATATCATATTTCCAACAGGAAAATATTATTAACAACTAAGACAAGAGATCCCAGAGGGATCTTGGCGCCCACCTTTGTACCATCTTCATTAGTTCTTTGTCAGTTCGATCTTTTCTCTTCTTTCCTCTAATCTGTTTTATCGAGTCATGTTAACAGTAAATGCACCTTGAGGTCACTTTTGATCTAAACTTAATACTGATGTGTATGAAAGCCAACCTTCAAAGTGAGTTTGTCATTTCACATATTTACTAGTACAGTACTTAATGTGAAAGAAATAGAATCGATCATTGCAATATGAGAAAGATCTTTTTAGTTCTTCTTTTAATCCATTTTGTTTTTATGATCAGTCTCAAAATATAACATACACAATGAGGGATCAAGGGGACCCTACATTTAAAATTTGAGAAAGATCCCTCCAGTACTTCCTGAGAAATAGCGATAACAAACTTTCACTGTCAAAATCCAAGATGGCTGCCTGTCGGCCATGTTGTTTATCCGATCAGTCTCAAAAGTTGCCCTGCACAGCTCAGGACCAAGGGGAACCTGCATATAAAATTTGAGAAAGATCCCTCTGGTACTTCTTGAGAAATACCGATAACAAGAATTGTTTACGGACGGACGACGGACGGACGACGGACCACAGAGGCAGGGTGATTTGAATAGCCCACCATCAGATGATGGTGGTCTAAAAAGCTTGACACGTTGATACAACATTTCCTTCAGATTTTGTTTTTAGAACCTTTGAATATTTTTAAATCAACTGTATTTGTACCATAAAAGCTCAGTATAGAAGTAACAATTCCACTAGTTATGCATTCTTGACAGCTCCAATTTAATGTGGTTGTTTTTTTCTTTTTATATTTTCTCACAATTGAAAAATGTTAAATATATTGTTCTTGCTACTTAATAGCATATTTGTTCTGTATTTTAGAATAGTGATAAATGCTTCGAAATATCTAGACCTTCACATTTACGTATTTATAGAAAAATTTCCAGAAAGATAAATACTCATACCACACCATTTCTTTTTCATTCACATGACACTTACTGCCTTCATACAAAATTCTATTTCTTGTACTTGTTGGGTTGTCTGCCCCTTGTCACGACCTTTACTGCGACCTTTTGACTCTGATTGGTCCAAAGTTTCTGTGGGTTCTCTCATCTTTCCATTGAAGAGTGCTATACCTCCACACAGTCTCTGGCAGTATGGGGTTACTCCACTCTGTAGATAAAAATGTAATAAGTGTGAAGTGTAAAGGGTCAGTAAAACCGACAGGGGCATGTCACTGACCCCAACTGTTTGGTCCATATTATATACTTTATCTGTACTTGATCATTTCTAGCAATCCCATTGGTAAGATCCTATTCACATGACCAGTTCTTAAAAACCCATGAAGACTGGTTTTCTGGTGAATTTTTATTTCTAAATATGGCCTTTTAGAAAATCTTGTACACCATTGCCATAAATAAACAGGTGTTTGATAAATTAATTATCTTAAATATTAATCATATGTTTGGTTATTTTCCACATCAAAAATGTATTGTATTGTTCAGCATGGTTGTTCTTATTAGCTCAGCATTACGACAGGAAACTCCCAATAAATATAAAGATGGACACATGGCATCTGAACCATGCAATGCAGAACCTCAGATCTTTATATCATTTTTTTGTTGATACATGTTAAGTAACAATTATGAACTTTTGTGACAGTAAATATCATTTACTTTGTCATATGAACCTAAGAAAGAGAAAATTACCTTGGCATTGCCTCTGTTAATATCACTTTTTTTAGGTCCATATCACATCATAATCAACATCATAAGTCATTAATTGTTTAATGTATCAATTCTCCTCCAGAACAGCAATCTGCACCACTATGGTTTTCTTTCGCTTTTTATTGCTTGCTTAGTTCAAAGTGGTTTGTCTTTATTTATTAATCTGATAAAATAAATACCAGCTGTACCTGGAGCTGTTTTACAGATGCGAGATTACCTGGAGATGTATTGAGAAATGCGAGATTACCTGGAGCTGTTTGAGAAATTGAGATTACCTGGAGCTGTTTGGTAAATTTGAGATTACCTGGAGCTGGTTGGGAAATGTGAGATTACCTGGAGCTGTTTGAGAAATGCCAGATTACTTGGAGATGTATTGAGAAATGTGAGATTACCTGGAGCTGTTTGAGAAATGTGAGATTCTGTGATCGAACAGGTACAGGGATCCTTAGATCAACAGCAATGTCAGACTGAAGACGAATCCAGTGGTCTCCCCCTGAATGACTTTTCCAATCAGCCGGTCTGAATGAACTCTGTATCAGATATATCCTTTATGTGTGATGTACATAATGTAATATCAACTTTAAATCTTGAGATCAAATGCTTATGTGCATTGTAATACTGTTGTGTATACATGTGTAGTGTACACAGAGAAATTTTGCCATATTTTAACTTTTGCCATTTCTTTCTCCACAATAAAGAAAGATGAATTTCTCATGCAAGCATTAATATTATACCATACACATTATACCATAATAATTACATGTGAATGGAAATAACCATTGAACAAGTTCTGATTTAACCAGTGAAGAGAAAATATTCGACTACACAATAGTCTCCTGGTATACAGTATTATATCATGTTACCTATTGGTAAATTGAACTCTATGGAACCATTAAAAAAATACTTAAAATGAATCCATCTGGTATATAAATTGATCCTTGGTTAATCTTTTGTAATACAATTTGAGGTAGTAACCAATTATGATATGAAAAATGATTCCCAACAGTAAACGCTATTGTACCAGTCAGTAAGCGATTGGCATTATTATTACCTTTGCATCACCAACATCTATACTTCTACAGGTATATCTGAAATAGGTTAAGGTCACATTTTTGTTAGATAATCATAATAGTTAAGCTGTCTTCTTGCATTGGTGTCTAAATATATATACATGTTTACTCTTTCAGTGAGAGAAATGTTTTGTCTCTGAATGTCCCATCAAGATTTGTTTTGTTTATGGTTTAACATCCATGAAACACGCAAGGAAATATGAAGACATGTGCCCAGGAAGACACTGCCTATAGGAGGACAACTGGGACCATGCATAGACTTGGATCTGTGGACCCCAGCCGCTGTAACAACCTATCCGCTTCCGAGGAGCAGTTTGACCTTGGGGCATGACCTGGACGAGATGAAGACTTTTTGAATCTAAAGAGGGTCTGGTAAGCGGCAACTTACCCCTCGCGTCGGCTGAAACGCAGATAACCGTCAATGAAGGAAGACATAAAAGCAGTAACCAACCAACCAAAGACACTGCCAGTAACCAACCAATCAAAGACACTGCCAGTTACCAACCAATCAAAGACACAGCCAGTAACCAACCAATCAAAGACACTGCCAGTTACCAACCAATCAAAGACACTGCCAGTTACCAACCAACCAAAGACACTCAACCAATCAAAGACACTGCCAGTAACCAACCAATCAAAGACCCTGCCAGTAACCAACCAATCAAAGACACTGCCAGTACCCAACCAATCAAAGACACTGCCAGTAACCAACAAACCAAAGACACTACCAGTAACCAACCAACCAAAGAGACTGCCAGTAACCAACCAATCAAAGACACTGCCAATAACCAACCAATCAAAGACACTACCAGTAACCAACCAACTAAAGACACTGCCAGTAACCAACCAATCAAAGACACTGCCAGTAACAAACCAACCAAAGAAACTGCCAGTAACCAACCAATCAAAGACACCGCCAGTAACCAACCAATCAAAGACACTACCAGTAACCAACCACCCAAAGACCCTGCCAGTAACCAACCAATCAAAGACACTGCCAATAACCAACCAATCAAAGACACTACCAGTAACCAACCAACTAAAGACACTGCCAGTAACCAACCAATCAAAGACACTACCAGTAACCAACCAACTAAAGACACTGCCAGTAACCAACCAATCAAAGACCCTGCCAGTAACCAACCAACCAAAGACACTGCCAGTTACCAACCAATCAAAGACACAGCCAGTAACCAACCAATCAAAGACACTGCCAGTTACCAACCAATCAAAGACACTGCCAGTAACCAACCAATCAAAGACCCTGCCAGTAACCAACCAATCAAAGACACTGCCAATAACCAACCAATCAAAGACACTACCAGTAACCAACCACCCAAAGACCCTGCCAGTAACCAACCAATCAAAGACACTGCCAGTACCCAACCAATCAAAGACACTGCCAGTAACCAACCAATCAAAGCCACTGCCAGTAACCAACCAACCAAAGACACTGCCAATAACCAACCAATCAAAGACACTACCAGTAACCAACCACCCAAAGACCCTGCCAGTAACCAACCAATCAAAGACACTGCCAATAACCAACCAATCAAAGACACTACCAGTAACCAACCACCCAAAGACCCTGCCAGTAACCAACCAATCAAAGACACTGCCAGTAATCAACCAACCAAAGAAACTGCCAGTAACCAACCAATCAAAGACACTGCCAGTACCCAACCAATCAAAGACACTGCCAGTAACCAACCAATCAAAGACCCTGCCAGTAACCAACCAACCAAAGACACTGCCAGTTACCAACCAATCAAAGACACTGTCAGTAACCAACCAAACAAAGACACTGCCAGTAACCAACCAATCAAAGACACGGCCAGTAACCAACCAACCAAAGACACTGCCAGTTACCAACCAATCAAAGACACAGCCAGTAACCAACCAATCAAAGACACTACCAGTAACCAACCAACTAAAGACACTGCCAGTAACCAACCAATCAAAGACACGGCCAGTAACCAACCAACCAAAGACACTGCCAGTTACCAACCAATCAAAGACACAGCCAGTAACCAACCAATCAAAGACACTGCCAGTACCAACCAATCAAAGACACTGCCAGTAACCAACCAATCAAAGACACTGCCAAAGTAAAAGAGAAAAGCAAAGGTAAGAGGTCCAATGTATACAAATGCATAGCTCTGCATCCACCATGAAACAAATTTCTCCATACTCAGATCCATGTGTCCACCATTTCAAAGGTCTGGAGTTCTGTCTATACATAATTACAGTACTAAGGATACTTTCTGGTAGTTGAGCAAATCTGCAGCAGTATCCTGTCAGTGATAGCTCCTTCTTCAGAAACAAGCTGGCCCCTTACGAGGGTCTTGTGTATGGCAAATACAATCTGAAATAAACAATCAATAGTCCTTAATATTATTATTTTTTGAGTCACAAGATAACATTCTCTTTTAAAATAGCAAGGTAACTAACTGTTAAGTATTGTTATTCAGTCTTTCAGACTAAAATCATGAAATGCTTTTCACATGGGTTATAATAAATGTAAATGTAAAATGAAACAGAAATCGAATTCTAGTGATTTTACTGGACATCCTTTAAAGTAGGGCTAAACTTTTGTGATTAACAGACATATTCATTATCATAGCTACTAAATTTAATGTTATTATACATGAAACTGTATAATCTGTGGAATAAAAGTTAATTATGCACGTCGATAAATATTTTATTTCATAGTTATTATTTTACGATGAATATTTTTAGTAAAATTATATACCAAGCAACTTTTTCTCTAGGGGGTGGGTGGGGGTTGTGGAAGGGGTCGAATAACTATACAAATGTTATCTTGAAAGATATTGGTCAAAAAGGAGTTTCTATGAATGTATCCTTTACAATATTAGATAGCTATATAGATATACTTTACAGTGTTTCCTTCAGGTTTGAAAAAAGGGAGGGGTTGGTAGTGTGATATAGGCAGAATAAAGAATTTACGAGAAAACACTGCCTTATACAGCTAGCTCACTCAGTAGCCAAAATAAAACAGTAATGAGAGAACTTACTAAGTACAAGACCTTTGAAATATGTTGATTTCTAATCACTTAATAATTAATGAATCAATTTCAGTTACGTATATATATATATGTGAACATGATAATGACAAAGACACACAGATTTAATGTTCAGTACCTGTCTGAGTTTAGCTTGTGATGCCTGCATCATGTTAGGTGGAGCAAGAGCAAATACTCCAATGACATCTATGCCGCCAGGCAACATTCGGATAGCCTGTCGATATAAAATAACAGACTGAATGAAGAGGACAAGATACAAGATACTAAAAACTTTATTTTTTTGGTGTATATATATAATATGAAACATTCGCTCTGATGAGCTATTCTTAAAACAAAACATATGGAAAATATCACGATGAGCATATATACAAAATGTATAGATATAACAAACACATGCAAAAAGAAACAAAACACACATCAAAATTGAAACTCAAATGTACATGGCTAGAAACATGCAAGCAATTGCAATTATTTACCCAATGAATTGTAAATTCAAAATGCAATTAAGGGTTTGGTGATGGAAGACCAGTAAAAATAGTAATGCTGTCTCTATTAAGACTTTCTTGCTGTTTACGACAAACACTTGTTAAGTTTTATAATATTCAGTTATCATTCACCTGTTTTGCATGAGTAGCTGCCCATTTCTCGCTGACATCACATAGACTTTCTGGGCGGTTATCTGACCTCTTTCGTTTCTTTGTTGCATCACTATCTTCTTCCTCCTCACTGACTTCATCTTCAACAGGTTCTGGGGTGCGAATCAACCGCACAGCATAATCCTTCTGGGCAGTCAGCTAGTTAAAACAAATAAACATGTGTTATCTTTATCAGATATACTATAAGTAAAGGTACTAACTTTTAAGTACAATCACATTACCTTGAATCAGTATGCAGCATAAGTAAAATAGAGCGTTTGCTGAATCAAAAGTTTAAGATTAAATGCTGGTCTTTTCAAATGCATTTTTCAAGCCCGTTTCTAATGTTTGACTGCATGTGACCAACAGTTACCATCACCAGAGCTTCCTGTCGCCCTGACACCAGACTTAGACATTTTGACAGGTAGATGTCTGATTTGGGTCTGTCAAAAAATGTAAGTCTTGTGTCAAGGTCACAGGAAACTCAGGCTACTATTACCAGTACTGTGTCAAGGTCACAGGAAACTCAGGCTACTATTACCAGTACTGTGTCATGGTCACAGGAAACTCAGGCTGTTATTACCAGTATTGTGTATCATGTTTGGCAGGTGTGTGTTTGGCAAGTAAATACCTGACCCTAGGCTGTAAAAGATTAATTACTTAGGGTCGGAAACTAAGAAAAATGAGAAAATAATACTGAGTGGCTTAATTGGATCGATAACTGGATTGTCTGGTCTTTGCATTTCTCTCTCTCCGGTTAGTGGTGCCTGTGACAAAACATTGTTTCAAGCATTTTGTGCACACTTGGCAGTCCATTATCATTATTATCTGATTATGGGATATCCGAACCTGGGTTGATTGGGGCGAAAACTTAGAAAAAAAGGAGGGATATAATGAAACCTGACTGAATCGATCGTCGGCGACCAGGTATATCAATTGGTAGAGCGTCCGTCTAGAGTTCCGAGGGTCCCTTGTTCGAACCCTTATCTGGCCTTTGAAATTATCTTTCTCCTGTTACACACCTTCTTCATCTACATTGTACGTCGATGCAGTCACACTTGATTGGTTGGGGTATTTACCGAAATGGAGTTGAATTACCAAAATGGGCTTTAAATTGGCATTATTTCAAAGGAATGGATCCTAATATGCATTCTTTATAACCTAATAGAGCTAGATGTAACAGATAGGTAGTTAAATTTGACTGGAAATAATTTTAATTTATCATTTAAAGACGCGCAGTAGCCGAGATTCACGGTACGATTTTCGATAGCGCTGCATTACCGAAATGGAGGGATATGGGCCTTAAATTAGCTCAATTTCAAGAGATTGGACCCATATATACTTTCTTTATCATTTATTGGAGATATATCTAAAAGATCGAAGGTTTATCTGTCCTGAAAGGTTTTTTTCTTTTTTAAAATTGAAATAAAGCCCATTTCCCTACATTTCGGTAATTCATCTCCATTCCGGTCCGTTCAGAAAATACCTCAAACCACACTTGATTATGATTATACGACTGGTGGTTTAGCAGTTGTGTAAGTACTAGTACTAATATTAATACCCAGCCTTCTCTGCCCCGGCCGGAGCTCTGACGACGCAATATATAAAAGAAAGTCTCTCGTCGTCAGAAAGCTACATTATCGCAGCTATGTTACTGTTAGTACTTGTGGTTTCGTATACGAACTCATCGTGATACAGTTAAAATGATGAGGAATTGATAGCACTTGGTTTGTCATTGATATTTGACAAGACACCTTAAATGTATCCAGCCTGATTTTGGGGTCATGGGAAACTTGAGCTTTAAGACTAAGGACGTTTGCCATTCTATCACAAGGCAATCAGCTGATGACTGACATATTGACAGAAATCAAGTCTTAATTAACGATCATGGAATGAACACAATGTGTTGAAATTATACCTGTCCAATGATCAGGCCTAAATTCCATGAACCATTCTTAATTAGTTTCTCTACATAATCTTGGATAGTCTCGTCCGCCAAAACTGTCCGTCCCATTTTCACACGTCTGCTTTTCTGAAAGCGGAAGTGCTTTGGATGGAGGGGAGGTCACTCTTAGGTCTTAGACCTAGAAGGTGTAGTCCTACCTGTGTTTGTGCTCGTGCCGTGCACTTGCCAAAATATGGAAATACGTAAAACAATTATTGTTTGTTATGAAGACTGTAATTCCATGGGCTGTTTCCGGGTCATCCCGATGTTTTTGGGGCCACAAACAAAATGTTAAATCGAAATGAAATTCAAATAGTCTCGGCTCGGACTTAGACTCCGCTCTAACAGTCCGTGGTCTCAGCTAGGCTAGTAATTTCGTACGGGTGGGAGTAGACTTGCCCCTATAGTATTGCAATTGTTTTTTTCTCTCTAATTTTTATGATTAATCCTGTTGAATAATTAATCGTATCCGGTTGTAAAATGTTGTAAGTTGTTCAACAGAATGAAATCAAGGTAACATTTGAGTTAAACATCTAATTAGATTTAATTTATTGTTTGCTGATTGTTGGTGGTCAAGTTTTAAAGACCAAAGGTCACATTTAACAACCAAATCCTGATCGCGGAGTTGGGTATAAATGTGTGAGCCCACATTGCTTACTCAGTAGTACTTTGGTTTCACTCGAACTGCAAGAAAACAATCTTACATTAACTGGAAATAAATATGAGCCATTTTCGGTTTTATTGGTCAGTCTACAAGTTGATGAAACAGCCGTAACTTACAAATTGTATTTGTCTACGCATTATATTCTAGTCTCAATGCTGTTTTATGTCCACTCCATGATAATGAAGCTTGGTCATGATCTCTGAATTTGTGAAACGTTAAAAATAAGTCTGTTACGTATAGTTAAACTAACCAAATGTATTCATAGAAACAAAAAATAAAAATCCACGCGCAACGATACCAGAAGGTCAAAATACAACGTCGAGCCCCGGAATACGACACCGCGAGGGAGCGAGAATACGACGTCAAGGGAGAGAGACACGGTGAGAGAGATTAATGTCTCTCGTATTTGCGCGCTTTCGCTTTATCAACCTTTGGTCGTTAGATGTCCATTACGAGATTTGCTATTTTGCACTAGCCGGTAGTCATACAGAAGTGAACATGGTCGAAATTTGTACTACAATGAGAAATGAAAGGTTATGTAATGATGTTCCCATGTGTAATCATATTTTAGGATGATATGTTCCCTGGCGGGATGTTAATGACGTAATTATTGAAAGGACAAATAACTGTTGAATACCGATACCTTCACTGCAGTCGAAGTAAACAGAAAGGAAGGGTAAGACGTTTGTGATTTGACAGTAGGGTAGCTGGACAGTGTTGTTTTTTGTTTTGACTGATTGTCGAGTTATATCCTCACATTATTGCAGGGTCCTGTAGACATATTATATTTCCAAGAGTTTGTTAACATTTCACAAAAAGAAAATAATGTATAGCTAAGTCCATTGCAAGTTAGAAGTGTTCCCTTCTTTAGATACGCTCCCCAGCGGAATCGACTTAACTGGTAGTGCCTGACGTGATACATGTAATCCCATTTTTAATTTGATTGTCAGATCATACATTAAACACAGCATTCTTTTCCTCTAAAGAACGTAAAGAGGTTATGAGAGGAGAGGATAACTTATTACATTCGCTGTCACTGTGGAAACACTGATTTTCTGTCAGTCCAAAATTATGACGTCATTGTACTATGACGTCAACATTTTATGCAAAGACCCAATTACGTTTTCTCAAGACGTCGGGCTAAATTCCAATTATTTCATTAGAACACCCAAATACATTACACATAACAATGATATTACCCTCATATGGATTTTTGAAAATGTATATGTATGGTTTAATGTAGTTTCGACGGGAGTACATGTATTATGCACCCGTTTGAGGTGCTCTTATTCGTGCGTACATTTCTAACTTGTTATGCACAATGTAGATAAGTTGGATGGTGAGAAGATATGTCGAGCGCTCGAAATATTAATTAAAGCGCTCGATATTATATGTCGAGCGCTCGCAATAATATTTCGAGCGCTCGAAATAATAAGTCGAACGCTCGAGAAGTTATGTCGAGCGATCGAGAAAATGTGTCGAGCGCTCTAGGAGTCATGTCGAGCGTTCAAGATAATTAATGTAGAAATGATATTGTACATGTTCTTAATGTACCACCGTACTAGTAATATTACGTGCACATGTCTTTGTTTTTTCCTATCCTCACGTTCATGTTAATGTCAAATAGTGTAGTTAATGGAACATTTCTTCGCAGATATATTTCTACCAAAAATATTTGTTTAACAGTTATAAATAGGACTGTACATTTCTGTAGTAACCAAATGTAAAATGGAAAACGACGGGGAAATGGAAGAATTTACGCATTCTATTATTTAGTGCTTAAACAGTGGCAGAGCTGTCTGCAGTACATTTTTAACAACAGATTCTTTAACATCGACATGTCTATTTTTGAATTTTGAAAATATTTCCCCTTGTATTACCATTGATTAATGGTCGTTTCTGTTTAGTGTTAACGATAACACTGTCGTTATATTTCTGGATGACCTTCTCTCGTTAGTGTATTAAGCAGTGTCAAAGGAAAGCTGTCTAAAGGAACATTTTTTTTTTAAAACCTGTTTACAAAATGTGTTCTTCCATAACAGGTCTTTTATGTGTGAAGCATTGTTTGGATACATCACATGTATATCCATTGACAAGTCTAACTAAATTATGTACACCATTACCCTGCGTACTGCTACAGCGTAATGGCTGTTTTTTGTATAGTTTTGTCGTGAATTCGGTGTGTGTTATTCACACACCGTCACAACAAGTAGTTGTAAATGCTCTCAGCTCCTGAAATCAAAGACAAGGTGGAGGAAAATCACTCACGTGTTGTTCGTTCGGGTTCAAGATGTATAAGAGACCGCGCCAACGCGTCACAGCGATGATATCACGTAGCTCACGAGATCTCGTGTCGGCGCGGTCCACGGTCCAAGGGAGATAACTCTCCCGAAATTCACCACACTCCTCCCCGTTTTATGAAGGCCCCTTCTGGGGCCTGGTTATGGCCAGGAAGAAGTCCATTGATCGGAAACCGCCTAGGTGTTGGCGCTTGGCGTCGGCCAGACGGATGTCGGCCCTCCGGAGGTGGATTAATGGGGAGGTCAGAATCCCCCTTAAATGAACAGTGTTTTGCGAAGG